CCCCAAAACCCCAAAACCCCAAAACCCCATGGTATCAAAATATATCGAAATAATGGAAATAGAGAATAATTGGATTTAAATTTAAAAGCAGAGTCTAATAACTATTTTGTAATAAGTAAAAATAATAATTTCGCTATTTCTCCAAGTTCACTCTCAGTATCAAAATAATGAAGTCAAAAGCAACCATAATATTTATTGTTTTGTTATTTACAATAAAAACTAATGCAATTTCAAATGAGTGCTAGCCAGGATTTTATCTAGATGAAGTCAAAAGAATATGTTGATGTAATATAACTACCATTGATAAATTATATATTATTTATAGAGTGTGATGAAAGTTGCCTTACATGTCAAGATTCTTATTCCTGCTTAGAATGTGCCAACGTATTAATGTTTAAAATGGATATCAATAAGCCATCACTTTGCACATATGTGTGTACGAATAATGAAGTCTAAAATTCAATTTGTATTGGTAAGTCTATCTATCATGTGCTTTTTATGTATTTGAAATTTATTAACTCTTTCAATTATCATTTAAACTACAATCTAAATACGCTTTCTTATTTGATAATGATTAATTAATTCAAATATTTAGATTGTTAAGGAGGAATAATTAATGAGAATGGAATGTGCATTAATTGTTAAGCAGGAATGTCTATAGATTTAGAAAATATTTCATGCATTTAGCAATGTCAGAATGCCTAATTGAGAGTTTAAGTTATAGTAAATTAATCTCAAATTAGCTATTGCCGAGGTAAATCCTAAAATTTTCAATGAATTATATAGGGAACTAAATTTTTATTGATTCTTACTCGAAAAAACATCTGGAATTAGGTACCTAGCAGTACCCTTATAAGAATTTTTATGATGCAGTAAAAGAGATACAAAATATTTTGCCATCAGACATTATTGAATATGAATTAATGATTAAAGAAAATACTACCTTTTAGATAAATCTCAAACTTGAATAACTCTACTTCATAAATTTAAAAAATCTAACAATAAGGTAAGAAAAAGTTATTCTAATTTAATTGAATTTAAAGAACTTATTGAGAGAGTATAAATCAGTAATTAGGGCAGAAATCAACAATCATCTTAGACTCATCTCTATACAATCACCTTTCTCAAAATACTTTATTTAATCTGGCATAATTTCCATAATAATATGATGAGATAAAGTATGAAAATGAATTGTAAAAGATAAGAAACCTAAGACCTAAAGACTCATCCTCTTATTTTATAAGCATAAATAGCTCAATTACTTTCTCAAATTTTATTATCTAAAGTAAGATAAAATATCCATTTATTAACAATAATTATTAGATAATAATTTAACTTAAAATGAGAATGATCAGTTTTTATATGCAATAGAGACTAATCAAAAATAAATAATTTTCTCAGTAACTTTTCATAAAGATAATAGCCATTTAGAATGTGATTTTCCATTTCACTGGATCAATATTTGAAACTTATCATTCTCTGAATTTATTCATTTTCAATTCTACGATCTATCAAGATAATTTAAGATTTGCATTAGATATAAATACTGAATGTAACTATGTGTAAATAAATTTCAAATAATTACCATTAAAAGCTAAATTGACTAAGAAATTTAATTCTAAATAACAATTGAAAACTCACTTTTCACTGGAAGGTAGGTAACTGAAAAAAGGAAACCGATTATCAGAATTAGATCAAATGATAATATTACCATAGCAAAAAACAGATTTGAAATATAAAGTAGAGCTTCAGATCCTAATTAACTAGTCTATTATCAAAATTGGATTGATTCTTGCAATTACTCAATGAGTCTGGCTTATCATAAAAAAGTTGTTTAGGTATTTGCAAATAATGTTATTACTTAAAAGAATTATGAAAGAGATATGAATACTTATTTTGTTATATACTTTAACAAGCCTTCTTAGGATCTTCTAGACTTTGAGGCAATTTTCTAAAATTTAACAGTAGAAAATGTTTTAACTACAAATACGATTATAACAGTCGAATCAAACTTGGATAATCTAGTGCTAAAAAATATCTATATTAGAAATACAACTTTAAAATAGATTGGTAAACCCTTGATCAGTGTTAGCGCACCTTAAAATTTAATGATATTTAGTAAAAAATAAACAATTAATCATTAATGTAGATTTCAGTTACTTAGATTCAATGAATTTAGGAAAAATCGTTCTCTCTCTTGGCAATGCTTAAAAATCCATTATCTTCATCATGATTGTTCAGAATATTACCTGTAATTATTTTCTAAACTGTATTGGATAATGTTTTAAATAGTTAGCTAAAACAGAGATAACTAAGCAATTATACAGGCCTTTGACACTCCTTATAATTCCACACTTGAACTAAGCGAATTGCATTTTTCAAATAATAGGTTATACTCAAATAAAGCCATTATTGGGGATTAAGATAGCATAATATCCATAACAGATTCTAGCTTCATCCATGAAGGTATTTAATATCAAATTATATATTTTTACCTTTAACCTTTTCATTTGTTCTAACTAATATTCTCTAGGGCAATCTTCTTTTAGCAGTTACATAATGATACAGTAATGTTTAAGTTTTAAGTTTTAAGATTCAGTTTTTATCGGATTCTATTACCTCGATTCAAGATCTTAGGACTCATTCGCAATTTAAATTAGCAAAATAAAATTAACAAATCAATCATCTTTTCTCAGTAATCGTCTAGGCAGTATTTAAAACATAGTTATAATGAAGAGTGACTTTAATTTCTTTAAGTTTTCAGGTTTTAATTTACAAGGCAGTGATGACTTTTCAAAAAGATACTACTTAGAATTATTTAATGTCACTATTCTTAACAACACCATAAAATAAAAAAACAGTCTAATTAGAATAGATGGCTACGAAAGCATATTTAATACCTAGACAAGATTTAATTCTTGTGCCATCTTGAATAATAATTTTATAACAGGTGGCTACCTAATTGAGTTTTTGCAAAATGAGATTAATCCAGTACTTTTAGAAAATAACTATATTTTCAACAATACGAAAGCAAGAATTCTCATTCAAGCAACGAACTAGCAAAACCTAAAGTTGCCTCTAGTTATACTATTTAATTCAACAGTCATTAGATTTAATTTTCCAATAATAGAGGGTTTTATTCAAATGAAATCAAATACAAAATTTTATGCCTACAATTCACAATTTATAGATACTTTATCATTGTCAAGAGGAGGAGTACTTTTTGGAGATTATAAAGGTGTAGAAGCATATTTTTATAATTGCAATTTTTTTGGGAATAAAGCTTCAAGAGGAGGAGTATTTTATGTTTAGCATGAGAGTAAGCTAGTCTTTGAAAATTGTTTATTTATCGCTAATATTGCAATATATGGTGGATTAGGAGCTATAAGTACAGATTCTTATTTCATTATAAGACATTCTACTTTGATGCAATGCATTGGAGTTGATTCAGCAACTGTAGAGATCACTGATTCTCAAAACTAAATTTCTACTTTCGAAAACTGTACAATTTTAAATAGTTTTGTCACTACGATCCAGGATATTCTAACTGCTAAAGATCAGTTTCCAGCCTTCATTCTGTTTACTTAATATATGGAATCACTTGCACTATAATTGTCAACTTCATCTTCGAAAATTAAAAACTTTAAAGTATAAAAGGGCAAAATAATGTTCAGTTAGGGAACTAAATTTTTGGAATCTAACAATGTAATAGCATGCTTTTCAGGAGAGTTTATATTTAAGGATAGTATGATATTAAATCTAATAATGAGAGATTATGATACTTCAATAATTAGTTTGTCAAATTGCAAAGCTTTGATTGAGAATTCACAAGTATTTAACATTGGATTTCTCCCAAATAGCACAGAATAAAAAATTCAACCACTTATAGAATCCGCTCTAAGTTCTTAAGTGGTCTTAATAAATTCTGCTTTTTTCAACATATCTACTACAATGATTACTATGCAAAGATGTCAACTTGAAATAAAAGGATCAGCCTTTTTTGATTCATACTCTGATAGAAAACTCCTAGGGTTTTTTAATCTGGATACTAGCGAGATAAACATCAATCATATATTTGTTAATAACTTACAGTCTAGTTATAATCCAATTATTTCTATTCTCAGATCACAAAAAGTTTTGATCTCTTAAAGTTATTTTCAAAGATTCAACAAGGACTTGATATTTTTGCAGAATTCAAATCTTAAATTGCAGGATTCAGTTATCAATAACACCGATTAAATCATGAATTTGAGTTAATAAGAAATTCAATATTTTAGCTCTAGAGCTATCTAATCGATTTCATCTTACGTAATAGTAGATAAGACTCTTTTTTTAAATCTCAGAAGTCATCAAGATGGTGGTGCTATAAATCTTTAATAAGGCTCCCTAAGTATTTAAAATTCTTTGATGCAATATTGCTAAGCATCTAGGGGAGGAGCATTATCATTATACTGCAGTGGATGTAATATTATTATTAATATTAATATTTTTATTAGCTGATCATTGCTGATACATCTTAAAAAACAACACTCTCATAAATAACTATGGAGTAGTTCAAGGAGGCGCTATTAACTTCAACAAATTTCTACCTGAATTTCTTGATACAAATCGTTTTATTAAAAATTATGCATCATACGGAAGTGATATTTCCACCACTCCCTACTCAATAAGATTAGTTTAAGTTACCACATTTAAGGTAAAATCAGGACTAAAGTATAATGGAGTGATCTAAGTAGAGATTATTGATAAATTCAATTAAAGAATAACAAATGATTACTAAACGTAAATTTTTGAGAAATTTAAAATCTATTATAGATCTGTTATCATTAGTGGGAATATTGAAGAAGGAACTTAAGTCAGTGGATAAAATTAACAAAAAGCTATTAATGGAGTGGTCATTTTTGATAGCTTGAAATTCTATGCAGAGCCAGGGTCTAAATCAGTATAATTTAGAGTATTTTCTCCAAATATCAATTCTGACAAAATAAGATAAACTTATGGCCTTCCTGAATCTGAAATCATCAATTATGAGCTACTTTCTATTGATTTTAATGACTGTGAAATCGGAGAAATCAAATCAGACAAAATGTAAGATTAAATAGATTCATCTATTTTTTAATAATTATCTTAGGTGTTTGAAATGTGAGTAGGGAACTTACTCAATATCTTCATCTTAAACTGAATGTTAATTATGCCCTGAATATGCTGAGTGTTTCGGTGGAAGTGATATATCTGTCTACTCAGGCTACTGGAGAAGTTCAAATACTTCATTGCAAATTCACAAATGCCTAAATCCAGAATCTTGCATAGGAGGTCTAATACAAATTAGAGAAGATGATTAGAATCAATTATGCGATGTTGGATATGGAGGAAACTTATGTCAAACCTGTTAAAATATAAATGGAACTTAATATTCTCGTGCTGCAAACAATAAATGCCAAATCTGCCCAAAATTAGGATTCAATCTTATTTTTCTTCAAGGATTAATACTTATATTGGTATATCTAATCGTTTTAGTAGTTATGAACATCAAAAGCTAAAAATCCAGCGAATTATCAGTTATAATGAGGATTATGACTACTTACCTTCAAATTCTATCTTCCACTCAAATGATAAATTTAAACTGGCCAAATGCTTTAAATCAATTTTTTGAAAATCTCACTTTAATAGGAGATTCCATTTAAAATTTGATATATTTTGATTGCTTTTTAAAAAGCTCCTTGATAGACAATAAGGCGAACTCCTTTATTTATTTTAAGACAATATTAGTTGGGTTGATCCCAATAATTTTGATAATTGCTTTTGCTCTGGCTTTTAACATATTCATATTGATAAAAGCTTAATTCAAGAAAAAATTCTATCAATGGGTCTTTATTATGGCTGTTATTGTAATATATTTCACTCATCCCACTGTGTCAAGGAATTTGCTTCAATTATGGTTTTGTTAGGAGTTAGATAAGGGTGAATACTGGGTTCAAAATGATTTATCTATAAAATGCTGGGAAGGGGATCACCTCAGACTTAGTATGTTAATTGGATTACCATTTATCCTGTTTTGGGTAGTTGGAGTACCTGTATTCGGATTTTTTTACCTTAAAATACAGAACAAGAGAAATCATAGGAAAGTATTAAGATAGTTTAGAAATATAACTTCAGGTTTAAAAGAAGAGTATTATTATTGGGAATTTGTAAATATTTTCAGAAAAATATTCTTAGTTTTTATTAATGTTTTCATGCAGACTTAATTACCCTTATTCAAAGCAATGCTTTGTCTATTAGTTTTACTATATATTTACAGAATTCAGCTAAAATTTTAACCTTACCTAAATCCTATGATAAATGAATTAGAGAAAAGAGAGGTGATTACAAATTTATTTACGTTTTATGGATCCTTTTTCTTCCTTGATAGTGAGATATCTTTTAATGTATAGTTTTCTATATTAACAATAATAATACTATTCAATGGTTACTATCTAATCTTATGGTTGTATCTTATCACTCGCTAATTTAAGATAAGATTCTTTGTTATTCTTAGCAGGTATTTATCAAAACTCATAATGATGAAAGTAGTAGAATTACCTAGAAAAAGTAATGCAATTTCAAACATTAGTGATATGTTTGACCATACAATTCTTGTACCTCCTGATAGCACAACCATCTTCTAAGTTGAGGGGTCAAAAATAAATCATTCTTCTACTACTCTCATTGGAAATAGAAACCAAAGCAATAATATATCTGAGATACTCAATAAATCAAAAACGATCTTGAAGAAAAATAATGTTAAAGCATCTTTTTCCCTTTCAAAGAGCAAATTTTCAAACATAAAAGTTACCTAAAAAGAAAATAATATTTCAAAGTTGAAGTTATTTAATAGAGTATAACATAATTCAAGACAAGATTAAGATATATCAATAAATGGATTATCTTCTTTAAATATCTTTTAAGAAGATAAATTCAATTAGGTTTTAGATCAGATTTTAACTGAATAGTAAAAATTAGATGAAAAAGTATTCTCTTTAACTAGGCTAATGAAATTTGAAAGATTTTAATAAAGAATTAAAGATTAAGGTCAAGAGGAGACAAAGTAGACTCCAAGAAATATTGAGGAGAGTAAAAATATTGAAAATATCAGAGTAAATAATAACGATGTTAGCAATTATTAAAAGCTCTCTGTACTAAAACAAAATGAAATTGACGAGGTAACTATGAGAAATATTGATAATCAATATGATTTAAATTCATAAAATGACAAGGCAAATCTATAAAAAAGAAAATATTAATCTAATAAGTTGCGAAATTAGATTGAGAAGAGCTTTTTAGAGACAGAATGACTAAATTAATTATATATGCTAAAATGATTATTTATATTTATATTAAGAATTCTTTAAATAAAGCAAGATGGGGTTTTGGGGTTTTGGGG